CGTCAAAGTGTTCGTTGCTTGCCGTCTTATTCAAGTCTGGCTGCGTGATGATTCATTGTTTGTGTCTGAATCAAAGACTGCTGAATCTGCTAAGCGATATACCTGTTGTTGGAATTAATTTTCTTCTTGAGCACTGAAGCTGAGCGTATGTGCACGGTATATGTGGAAAAGTAGGCAGTGGCGTTTCACTTACTGTTCGACGTCTGCGTACTTGCATTATAAGTTAAACTTAAACAAAATATCCTATTGAAAATGTATAAGTAGCTTTTTAAAAATATTAGTACTTTATTTGTGTGGTGAGGACTCTAATCTGAACCGCTACAGTAACACAAACTCCTACGTATCTGTCTGAAATAAATTCAGGTAAATAGACGACACACCCATTTGAATTTCCCAAGTGTATGACCTGTGACGCAAGGTTAGCCAACCACTAAACGGAAAACTAGGACCGAGCACGATTCTTTAGAAAGGAACGACACGTCCACTCAAAAGAGGGACTGCAAAACAAACTTCAGATTCGAACGTCTCTTTGACATCTGACTTCCGTGTATTTTCATAGAGTATTCATCACATCGAATTCTATTTATTAAAGCCTGAGCGGCGTAGAATGGGAAGCTCTCGTCTGGCAGCAACATGGGTGCTCGTACATGCGTATGGCTATATTAACGAAAGGGATTTCACTGATTGGCTGGTGCGTTTGCTTGACTGCCCGACGTTACTGCTTCTGAGACAGTGACCAACTGCATTAGCAAGTCCGGTTCGGCTGCCAGCTGGGAAAGAATGTTCGGCCGCATTTTCGTATGTCTTATTAATCTCGAGCGCGGTGAGGAGCAGTTTTGTGCCCCTACAACGGGCCAACTTAAATCATCACGGGGAGGGAGGGGTGGATCAGGGTATAGCAAGCGTTTAGTGGATACGCGCACCAGTAATAAATGCCGCAAATAGGGGTTATTGTGGCATGCCTTGGCGTTCTCCCACGCCGCGCCAGCCACTTGCGTCCGATCCCGTCTCCAGTCTTCTTGACCTTGTAGTGACACGGAGCCAGGCAGGATGGAGGAAGAGGTAGTGTGGTGGATGCTGTGCAAGTATACCATCACTAGAAACAAATTCACCGTCAGTGCGTTCACTCTGCTGTTGGGCACACTGTAGATATCGTATGGAATCCACCGTTACCGAACAGCAAACTGACTGCCCATCGTCGAAATCGACGGGCGAACTGTCGGATATCGTCGGAATCAGCTGTACAACTGTTTAATGGCAATTCCAGTCGAGATGCCTACACGCCGGACTGTTAGCTAGTAACGCGGGACAACATGCATGAATTGTTTGATGCAAATAGAAGCGTGTATTTGACGACTATTTATCATTTTATACCAGACCAGGTCAGTGAATGTCATCCTAAATGTGATCGTTCCGAATCACTAACTTCAGTCTATGGGTCCACGTTCCGGCGACTAGAGTGTTTTACTTCGGTTCTTGTCGAACCTGCGGATTTGAATTCCAACCTCAGGTTAACCTAGCCCTACGTTAGAATACCGTTAGTAAAGGAATATGCGTTGAATTTGACTGATAGCGGCCACGTAAAAACTCTATGTACGTTGTGTCTGAGGTGACAGGTTCACACGATAAGTTGACAAGTATCCAGTAGTATTACCTTAATTTTAGAAATATTGTGTGGTCAGAGAGTGGGGAATGGAGGTACCACAATTCCTCTGCTGTGCTGTATAAAGACTTCCAATCTGCGATTTGGTTAGTTATCTGATCGGCCGGTGACCGAGTCTTACAGTCCTGTGGCGTATTCCAGAGAGACAAACCAATAGATATAGGAAGCAATGAGGCTCGTCTGTCAATAATAATTGTAAAAAACCGTATCTCTTTTTCCCTCACGTAAGGACCTTGCACTTTTAGAAACCCGCGTCCGAAACAGCAAGGGTGATTGCTCCGCCGTCTGAGCGTCAGCCGAACAGGCCGGTGGATCCTCCAGTGAGTTTGCTTTTTTCCCGATACTTTCCTTTCTCTAAAACAAAGGCTCAGAAACTTTTATTTGCTTAAAACTTTCACTTTTGTTTTCCTTTTAGTGGTTATTTTATTCGAATGTTCCATTTTGTGCGTGTGCAAGTTTTGGTTTCCTATGCATTATCATTTTCTACAAAAATCCTCGTCTTGGAATCAGCTCGCACCTTCAACATATTTTAATTTTACACCATTTGAGCAACCAAATCGTGGAACTGTTTCTTTTGAGCCTTCAATACAAAGTATTTTATGTTGGTGCCGCTAAAGACATTCATAGAAGGGGAGAATAGGAACGACCACAAAGCAGCCTCTGGACCTCTCTTCTTATTCATGTTGGACACCGTCAGAAATCGTGAACCGGCGGTTTTTGTGACATTTTGAAAAAAGCAGGAGCTTAAAAGCTCATAACATACGAGGACCTGTCTCTGCGGTAGTTTTTCGATATTTTTGAGCCTTTCACTGAGAAAATCTGCGCTCACTATAACAACATCGCGAGGATATCCCCGACCATTCGTGAAAGATGACTGAGGTTGTTTGGACAGATTCCTCGTCGTCAACTTCACAGGCTGTTACTGTCCTGGATCCGATACCGTTACCTACTTGAAGACGTCGAAGAGGGGATCAACTCAAAAGCTGGCTCGATTCAGTCTGTCAAGGCGTAGAAGTGGTTATTGGAATTTCGGCGTTGGCGAAGAGAATGGATTAAACTGCCCAGATCTGTTGCCCCGGATTGTCACCCGTGGAGAAGTACCATCTGGACATAACCGACGCCGGCTAGATCAGTCATGCTCGCAGCCTTAACAAGTACAAGTTGCATTCAATTTTTGAATAGCCTTCAGTGAGTCAGACACGGTTTCACTTTCAGAGTATTCGTTTTGGTATGCTTCCATTAGTTTGATACAATGCATGAGTTAAGTCGTTTGAGGCAAATACGCAATCCTGCTGCAGCGAACTGGTCACAGCTGGAAACTCTAGGTTTGAATTGTCTTCGTCGGAATGCTTATCAGTGTGCGCTTCTCTTTCGGTCGCAATAAGGATTGCTACACTGAGAAGAAGAAGAACAAGAAGAAAACGACTCGGTCGCTGGGAGAATACTTTTATTCGCCTGACGTTTCGATATCTGTCGCGGATTCGTCACCAGAGACATTTTCAGAGAGCAATAGCAGAAAGTACGTTGAGATAACGGTGCTATGGCTTGTGACCTGTTCGATAAGAGCAAACTTTGTGTGCACGTATAATTCCGCCGTTTTTTGTGGGTTCAATTATGCTTTTTCTAGAGCTCTGCATGCTTTGAATCTGTTCCCACTGCACTTTAAAGTCCCCCTGTAAATGAAGAAGAACAGTCGACTGCTTCTCATGGTGCTCACCTTTTGTAACACTGCTAATTCTGTGGCTGCCTACCACTTCGGGCATATTTAATCTACATATAGGCGCGTAGCGGTCTCGTTTTTCGCTCACAAGGGCAACATTCCTTAATTTTTTGTGCGCAATGGGCGTCCACTCTTAGATTCTGAACTGTAATATTGCTATTTTCCTTCCGCAGGCCCGGGAGACAAATCAGCCTGATCATCACCCCTCCACAAGTCCACAGTTCTTGACCGCAAAACAGCAGGTTTGTTTCTAACACTCTGATTTCTGTTTCTCCCGCACTCACGCCTCAAACTATGCGAAATCTGCTGAACACGTCGCTGACAGGCCTGAGTTACGCACAGTCTAGCTTTTTCAAATTATCAGAAAGCACCTAGATTTGGCCAACACTTCACGGCCAGAAGGTACAGCCCGTTGTGAACAAGTTCAATAATTAAAACGCTTTCTCAGCGCCACCATTGCTCTGAGCACAAAATGGATAAGCTATTGCGTCTAGCCAATACACAGTCTCGAGAAATGCCACGTTGTAACTGCGGAAGGATCTGATAGCTAATTTAGCTACACGAAGGTCTAAGCTTCAGCGCTATTTCAACACGGTACTTGTTATCTGTCGTAAGATAAGACCTTCCCCGCCGCCACCACCGGCTTTCGGCACATTACTCTATTCCTAAAATGGTATACACCTCTTAAAGGCCAACGCTAACTTTTAAACCCTTATCTAACATACATCACTACAAACATACTACTACCTTGATTTCAACAGACCGTTTATTTGCATTGAAGATGGCTCAGATGCAAAGCGCTGTGTGCTTGTTGTAAGCTGCTATTTCGCAAACGCCTAACCTTTTTAACCGTTAATGTTTCATCATTATTTTTTGCATACCAATGTGACCTGTAACAGTTTTTGCATCTCAACTACTTTTTGTGCATTCCTGTAAAGTTTCAATCAAGTTTTAAGGACTTCTGTCATTTACTCCAAATATACTCACTGATACTGAACTAAGAGCGGTTGGGCACCGCCTCCCCCACACTCCCCCGACTCCAGAAAACAGTCCCCTCAAACAAAAACGTTCATTCAATCGGTGTCCGGTGGACCGTGACTTGACCGAATCTTTTCACGACCGGAAGCCTATTGTTCGCTCCCTCTGGTTGGTATTAGTGGGGATCGATTGTGCTAGAAGGATAAGCATGCCACCGAATCATAATAACCGACAGTTCGGCCCTCATATCCGACGAGCTCAACGGTGTGCTCCATGGCATGCTGCTGCAGGGACGATGACTTGCGCGTTGACTAGTTTTAAGTGGTAGTGGACCCGCGCTGCATCTGTCACACTCGCACCTCCCTCACCTACCTGTGCCCGGTATCAGGGGAGAATCGAAGTGACCTGAGGCGGGATTGTGCCCGGCTTGAGCCTGTACCTGCGTGTGTCATCACACCCCTTCCCCATTATTGATATTTT